TCGCTCTCTCTCTCTCTCTCTCTCTTCTCTCTCTCTCTCCTCTTCTCTCATCTCTCTCTCTCTCTCTCTCTCTCTCTCTCTCTCTCTCTCTCTCTCTCTCCTCTCTCTCTCTCTCTCTCTCTCTCTCTCTCTCTCTCTCTCTCTCTCTCTCTCTCTCTCTCTCTCTCTCTCTCTCTCTCTCTCTCTCTCTCTCTCTCTTTACACGCCAGTTTCCCTCTCCATTTCTTCAATAACACAGAGAAGCGTGTAGCCCATTCCATTAATGCCTTGCTATTGACCAGGAAGTAAGATACTCATTACCTGCCCTACGAAAAGGATAGACAGGAAAGGGACGAATAAAGAGTGTCACAAAGAAGAGAGAAGAGAAAGGGCTCTTTGAAATAGATCCAGGTCGGAGGCAATGATGGATTCCTATACTATTCAGATATAGACTTTTTGGCGACTGGTGAGCAGGTGCTGGCTAGTCCGGGGATAATTTGGCGTGAGAGCAACATTTTACTGCATGTTCTCTCTCTCTCTCTCTCTCTCTCTCTCTCTCTCTCTCTCTCTCTCTCTCTCTCTCTCTCTCTCTCTCTCTCTCTCTCTCTCTCTCTCTCTCTCTCTCTGTCTCAGTCTTTGTGTCGATGTGTCTGTTGTGTTTGGTTGTTTTGACTCCACCCTCTCCTCTTTCTCTCACAATCTCAAATCTCTTCTCTCTCTTCTCTCTCTCTCTCTCTCTCTCTCTCTCTCTCTCTCTCTCTCTCTCTCTCTCTCTCTCTCTCTCTCTCTCTCTCTCTCCTCTTTTCTTTCCCCTCTCTCCCCACCCTCTTTCCCTCCCTCTCTACCCAACTCTCTCTCCTTCCCTCCCCTCCGTATCTTTATCCCTCCCTCCCCCCTTCCCTTCAATTCAACTGAATACAAACCTATTCGAAATAATGTCCAAAAACCCCCTCAAGTGCACCGAATAACCACGTAACAATTGAATGTGAAACTGCCAGCTTAGCGAAGTAATTGAGGTATCAGGTTTATGCCCCCGGAAAATGGCGCGGATCAGCTGATGAGTGATCTGTCGAACAGCTGGTCGTTGGAGGTATTGTGATTTTGGTCATGTCTGTTTTGTTTTCTTCGGAGTTATTTTCATGTTTTTTTCTTTTTATTTCTTTATATTTCTTTTATTTTTTTCTTTCTTTTTTTTTTTTTTGAGATTTTTACGGTGATCAAGTCCTATTAAAAAGTGTTTATACTAATTACAGTTTTTTTAGGAAATGGAATGCAATGTATATATATATATATATTTTTTTTTTTTTTTTTTTTTACAAAAGGATGGTTATTGAATGTAATTATTGGTGATTAGGAGGATGGGGATAATTATGTTAATGACAGTGACAATAATGATGATCAGTAATTGTAATAATAACAAAATAATTCTATAGAGGTAGAAGAAACGATCTTTTCTCTCTCTCTCCCTCCCTCTCTCCCCTACCCTTCACCTCCCCTCCCCCTCCTCCCCTTACCTTCACCTTCCTCTCCCACTCCCACTCCCCCTCCCCCACTCTCACACCTCTACCCTCTCCCACTTCCCTCCCCCTCCCCCACTCCCACACCTCCACCTCTCCCACTTCCTCCCCCTCCTCACTCCCCCCTCCCCCCTCCCTCCCTCCCCTTGTCCTCCGTAGACCCAGTTTCCGGCCACCCAGCCCTTGTCCTCCGTAGACCCAGTTTCCGGCCACCCCAGCCCGTTAAGCCGTGTCACTCGTGTGGAATGAGACCAACTCCACTCCCTTCCCTTTGACTTGCTCTCGACCTCGGGATTTTGCGCGAGTGATGACCTGACTCCATCCCCGTGTCTTGTGGTGGTGCCAATGCGGTCTTTGGGTGAGGGAGAGGGAGGGAGGGGAGGGGAGGGGGAGGGAAAGGGAGAAGGGAGGGGAAGGGGGGAGGGAGAGGGAGGGTGAGAGAAAGGGGGAGAAGGGAGGGGTGGGGAGAGAAAGGGAAGGGGGGAGGAGGGGAAGGGGTGAGAAGGAGAGAAAGGGGAGAGGGGAGGGGTGGGATGGAGGAAGAGAGATAGGGAGAGGAGGGGAGGGAGGGATGAGAAGGAGAGGAGGGAGGAGAGGGAGGGGGGGGAGGGGAGGGGGAAGGTAAGGAGTGGAAGGAGTTGGGAGGAGGGAGGGGTAGTGAGGAGTGGGGAGGAGGGAGGAAGGGGGTAGGGGAAGGGGGGAACGGAGGGGTAGGGAGGGAAAAGAGAGTGGGGAGAAGGAAGAGAGGGGGAGGTAGTAGGGAAGTTTCTTTTCGGTGGCAATGCTTGTTGTGACTTCCGGTCGGTCCTTCTTCTTTTCTTCTTCTTCTTCTTCTTCTTCTTCTTCTTCTTCTTCTTCTTTCTTATCTTTCCTCGAATGTATCTTCTTTATCGGGCGAGAGAAGTTTTTTTTTTACAAGTTCAAGTATTCTTCAGTAACAAGTACGTTTTTGTTGCTGCTGTAAAATAGATTTGATTTGAGTGAGTATTATGCAATTGTATTCTAAAACTTACAGTCATAACTACACCTAAATTATATTAGATTAATAAATGACACATACAAATACACACATACACACATACACACACACACACACACACACACACACACACACACACACACACACACACACACACACACAGACACACACGACACACACACACACACACACACACACACACACCACACACACACACACACACACACACACACACACACACACACACACACACACATACACACATACACACAAATACACATACACGCAATAACCACACTCAGACACACACGCAAACACACACACAGACACGCACAAAACACACAAACACATATATACATACAAATATATGTTATATATAAAAATATATACTATATATATATTATATATATATATATATATATATATATATATATATATATATATATATATATATATATACATTCACATCCACTCACACATACACTCACGCTCGTATACTCACACTCGCACTCAAAGTCACACTTATACTACTCACCCACACTTACCTCCTACCCCCTACCTTCGCCCTCCACCCATACCCACAACCCCACTCTTCCACATACAGAACAACCCACCCACAAACCCTTACACACACACCAAAACAACCCACGTAGTGCATACTGATTCGAACACCTCTCGACCCCCGTCACATGAAGCTTTCAACATCGTGGTCGGGACGGTTTGGACTCCATGCTACATAACGCTCACCCTAGCGTTTTGTCAGAGAGTGAAAGTAGGACGCTCTTCCCCCGGCTCCCAGACCTTCCAGACGGGCCGTAATAACGTGAATTAAATCCCTTGTGTGATGGGAGTTTTCCGTTCCTTGGGGTTAGGTTGGGGTGGGGTGGGTGGGGGCGGTTTGTTTACATTTTCGGATGGGTGTTGAGATGGTTGTGAAAGGGGGGGGTGATAGGGTGATGGGGGGGTTAATGTTAATCTTCATGTTGATGGTGATGTTGGGGGATGTGTCTGGTTCATGGAATTTGATAGTGTTGGTGATGATGATGATGATTACGATGATGATGATGACGACGATGAGGATGATAATGATGGTGATGGTGATGATGATAATGATACTGATAACGATAACGATATTGATACTGATAATGATAATGACGATGATAATGATAATACCACTATTGGTAATGATGATGGTGTTGATAAGATGATTTTCACATCAATATAAACCAAAAAAAAAAGTAACGATAATGATATTGAACATATCAGTAATAGTATGGCCGTTGTCACCATCGTAATAATAACGATGATAACAACGGAAATTCCACAGACGAGTTTCACAGTGGATTCTTCCTCTGTGGAAATAACCATTGTCGTAAAGGCGCGCAAACTGCATTCATTATAACGCGAAGGTTAATGATAATCGTGATGACATAATGGCCGTATGAATAATATATAAACAGTTATTCTGATTACTCGCTTGTGAAACTGTACTAATTTTATCAGTATTACAGTCTGTGTGTATGACATGCGCCTCCGCTTCACTTTCACAACAGCATGAGCAAGAGTGATGTTGAATATGTAGTCTTACGCTGCAATATACTTTATTTTCATACCATTGTATGTATATGAACAATAATATTTCGGTTGATTAGGATGAAATTTTTATGAACAATAATATTTCGGTTGATAAGGATGAAATCTATATTATGATTTTATTATTAACGTTTATTTTTTTTCCTTGTGTTCGATATCTGTGTCCGCCTGTTCGAAATGCTGCATCTTATATTTTGGAAATACGTTTTCTGCTATACTAGTGGGACCGTGAAAACGTTCAGAATTCTCTACAAAATACGAACTTGTTTTGTTTTTGGTATGTTGAAGCACTAGTAGTAAAATAGGCTATCAGAAACATTATATTGATCGTTCTGTTTTTCTTGTTTCTTCAATATAGAGATTATTCGTAGGTTTGACTTGATTTCTACGCAAATGTGAGGCCATGTTTTTCTTCGTAAACTTTCTAATTTCTGTATATGGCTAACGTAGTGATAAGAAGATAGTGAATCGTGCCGGCTACTATTCTTAGTCTACCAACTGTATGGTTGACGCTAACGAGAAATTACATCACGTCGATGCAGGTGAATTCAAACATTTATTTGCAAGATATAATAAGAGCAGAAGAATAGATTCTAACGTCAATATCATGAGTGATGAGAGCCAAGGTTACCCAGCTACAATTCGAGATCGATACTCGGCTGAAGACTTCTCGGTAAGGTTGGTATTTCGGTCGAGTTGCCTTGCAAAAAAATTCTTTTCTCTAATTTCCGGCAATAATTACGTAAAGTTACATTAATTTTAAATACCATATGCTTTGGAAATATTTTTTACATTCCGATGAATATCTTATTGATTGTGTACATGTACATAATTGATAGTAATGCCTAAATAGTAGATTCGTAGGGGGCGTCGGCATCTGTATGAGTGACGTATTGATGACGTCAGCGCGGGGCCGCCGATGCGCCGACTCGCGCCGGCCGGAGTTGTCGTGAAGCGCGCGTCGTCGAGATCGGACGTGCCGCTGTGCCCTTTAGTGTCGACCAACAAACACTTCACAGACGGTGAAGAATGTGCTTGTAGCGAAAACCTACACAGGTCCTAGAGGGCAACATTAAGGGAGTGAACGAGTGTACAAAGTGAAGCCTAGTGGCTTGTACATAAGTGTGTATATACAGTGATTGTTGGTGCTGGTTTGAGAGCCAGCGCGTCGCCGTTGTTCGTGGATACTGTGTATCCTCTGCTGCCGTCCTCCTGCTGAGCGCCGAGTGTCGCCTCTTCAGCAGCCATGGCCGATGTAAGTAGGGGCCGCCCGCCCCCGCCCGTGCTTTGCGGGCTGCTCGCTGGCGCGGGCGTTGTTTCTCGGGCTGGGTGGGTTGTCCGAGCATTTTCCTCTCCACCATGTAGGCCTACAGCTAGCTCCAAAGTGGGTGCAGGATAGTCAGGAGCGGCTTGTGGGTGGTGGTGAAGGCACGCATTGATCTGTGCGGTGCGGGCGCGACCCGTCCAGGGAATCAATACCCGGTAGAGGGACGGGGGCGCTGCCCACTCCACCTGCAACTCGCTACACCTGCAATACTGTCACTATGCCCACTAAAGTATCCTGTCCAAGAGGTTGGCTGAGTTACGTTACGAAAACCCCAATAAATGGGTCTTCGGACGTATTCCGCCGCCAAAGTACTAACCACAGCAATAAAGTACCGAAGCACCTTAGGGAAGCGCATAAGCGTAAGAAAACACCAAAGTAGCGGAGTATGAGTAATGAGTGAGTAATTTCCCGTCTTGAGGCTGCTGTTCAAGAGGACTACCGGTAGGCAGGGGAGGCGGTTATAAATAGTTCAGTTGGTAACATATCAGAGGCAAAAGGCTCAGGGTGGTAATGCTGAGAATAGCCCCGTGTTGGAAGGGAGACCTGAGGGGTCCAATTAAGACAGGTCGGAGAGGGGAAAGCCAGCGATTATGTTACGCCCAAAAAGTATGCGCTTTCGAGGAGGAGAGCACAGACGCCGTCATTTGGCAGAGAATGTTCCCCCTTGACATGGCATGAAATTTAAATCCCAAAATGCCAGCTGGAATTCGCTCAGAAATGACAAGTTCATATGATTATGTACATGTAAGTGCTCTTCATCAGCACGAAGTTCTGTCATGCTAAAAAGTAGAAATTTTGATGTAGACGTTCCTAAGTACCGTATGTAACTCAGCGACACCGAAATCGTAGCGTTATAACCTCGTCTGTTTTCCCCAAATGATTAATAATATCAAATATATGAATTTTATATATCTACCCCATTTTTCGCAGAGGAGGGGTTAAATATCTAAGTTATTGGATAGACATGCTATTTTCTTCACATTCCACCATAATATTCCATAAACTTCATACAAGAGACAAGTACCAAGTTCACGATTCAGCAGATGAACCCCCTTCGTGATCGCACATCCCATGAAAGTTTTCTTATGTGGATTTCACAAGAAGCCCCAAATCCACACAGTTGCATTAGCAAAATCCGATCTCTCAGACAATGTAGTCTCTTTTCCTGTTAAGTTTCAAAGAGAGACTTGGTGGAAGTGATAGACGAGGAGGTAGCGGTTGGGAGTAGAGTAAGAAAGGGGGAGGGTCGGTTTGCGGACCAAGTGGAGGTGAGGGACGTAGAGCAGTTGTTAAAACGAGATCTCCGATTTTCCGCTTAAATTATTCTAAGTGGTCTTATGTCCAGGATGGCATACAAGTCCATAAGAGTGCCAGCTCCGTAATTCAAGGGAGACCAGACTCCATTTTTCACGATTTAAATCGATCTATCAACTTAAAAATGTTTTTATGTATGTATATGTCTTTAATCATTTCTCACCACGAATAAGAAGCATATGGTTCCACATCTTTGCAGTTTCTGCTCGAATTTACGCGAATGCAAGATATTCTGTGTGGTAAGAGCAGCAGCAGCATATGATCGATTGCGACCAAGGTTTTCCCAAATTCATACTATAGAGGATATATATTTGCCATTGAAATGTCTTCTCTATTTTTTGCTCGAATGATATAATCGGATTACAAATTCAATAAAGAAAACCACAGTCGTACATTACTGATTTTTTTTTCTTTTTTTGTAAGCATCAGACGAATGTGTCTCCGAATGAATATATTGATTTCAAACCTTGTTAAAGCTCTCAAGAGAACAGCTCGCCATACTGCTTACGAAAGTGGTGATCGGCTGCCCAGGAGCAAACTATCTCCCTTATTCCATTTCGTAGTAAAGGCCATACTACTAAGATATTCTTTTAATCATTCTGAAGGACTGCCTTGTGGGTTTATAGAATGATGGGCAGTTTATGATTTAAAGAGAAATGAATGTCCTCTAAATGGATGGCAGTATAAGGAGGCCATTATTTTGTTTTCACACTCTACTTGAAACAATACAGGCCTGTTTTGACAGCCAACAGCTGTTCCCACAAGAATGAGAGTATCCTAAATCAACCGGCAGAAATCCAAGATGGCGGCGTTGATGCCAACTGATAGCAGGCGTGAAAGTCGGCTGCATCCCTTACTATAGTATTCAGTTTTTATGTATGTATAGTTTTGTTAAAGAATCAAAGGATAACCCAAATCTCTCTGCTCAATATGTATAAAGTTTTGTAGGGATGTATCGATAAGAACCGGCTTCTCACGGCTCTTTACAACTGTACGCAGACGCTCAACTATTGATTGGAGTTGACGGTGTTGCCGGGTGTCGCTGGATTCCCAACTCCCCGGGAAGTTGACAGGTAATGTTCTACAAAGTTTCTCACTTGTTTCCATCATTTTCCTCACCTTAAGCAAATGAAGCCCGCCGCATTTGTTTCGAAATGGGAAGCTTGAGAGAGAGAAAACTTCAGATGGAAATACAGATGGTGGCGTAGAAGGGGGGAAGGGGGGGTGGCGGGGGCGGCCCCAGAGGAGCTGACACTGTTGAACGAGCCGGACTGGACTGGTGTTCAGGTGCTGGGATGGTGCATTGCAGAGGTGGGCTACACTGCCGCCCACCCGATAGCAGTTGCACAGCCAATGGTCACTAGATTTGCTTCTACTTCTCACCCCAATTAATGGCACTCTCATAGCTGTTGGGATAAGTAGATGAAGATGATCAATAAATTCTAAAATTCAGCTTAGGATAAGAGATCTGCGCCTCCTGGGCACCCGGCATCAAGCGGCATCAGCATGCCGGCTTTAGTTAATTATGCTTTTGAGCTTAAGTACCCCTGACATCTGGCTTTTGCATTATAACAGCAGTTTACAGCGATTACTTCACCCATGCCGAGCAGTACGAAACTTTCAGGAAATTGCTTTCAAATTTCGATTGATAAGCTAGGAGGAAACTCTGCGAACCGGTTCAGAAGCCGGCGTCCCGGCTCCGCACCCTATCGATGTACCCGTCAGCTGTAGCTTAGCCATTACTTCAACACGAATCCAAAGTCATAGTTGGTAAATCGAAATAAATGTACACTTATATATATTTATTTGTTACTTGTTACGAAATAACGTCT